ATGAGTTCTGAAGTACAAGATTAGAGATGGATGAGAAATAAGAATATCAAAGAAAAGGATCATTAGCACGTAACGTCTCCACCTTTCACTACTATTGTGTAAAACGTCCTTACCTTTTATTTTTTGACATTTTCACCATTATTTTCACATTTCATTGGGCAAAAAGTCATTTTCATTCATTTTCTCAATTAAAAATTATGAAATGACGAATATACCATTATCTTTAAATAAAACGAAAAAAAATTAATTGCAACCACAATCCTAATTTTTTTAAAAAGGGGCAAATGAGTCTCAAATAAATTATTAAAAAGGTAATTAACACATAATGTTCATATATTTCACTATTATATATATTATTATTTTTTTTTTATTTTTACATTTTCACTTTTAATTACACATTTGATTACGTAAACCATAATTTTTTTTTATCCATTTTCATTCAATTTCTCGATAAAGAGTTGTGAAATGATGAATATATACTCCTATTTAAATAAAAAGCTAAACATTTAATTACAACTATAGTTCCAAATTCTTTTAAAAATAGCAAACGAGTTCCAAATAAATTATTTAAAAAATAGAAATTAATTTTTTTTAAATTGCAAATGAGTCCCAATTAAATTTATTAAAAAATTTAAAGAGTACAAACGAATCCCAAATAAATTATTATAAAAATTAGAAGTTTAAAAAATAATTTTTTTAAAAAATAAGATGGTATATTCATCATTACATTGCTCATTATTAAAAAATTAGATGAAAATGAAAAAAAAAATGATGATTTGCGCAATCAAATGTGTACTTAAGGGTGAAAATTTAAAAAAAAAGGGAGGGACGTTTTCCGCTATAATAGTGAAATATAGGAATATTATGTGCTAATTACCATTTTAATAATTTATTTAGGTATTCATTTGCGCTTTTAAAAAAATTTGGAATTCTTTTTCTTTTTATTTAAAGAAAATGGTATCTTTGTCATTTTATAATTTTTAATTGAGAAAATAGATGCAAATGGCCTTTTGCGCTATGAAATGTGAAAATAAGGGTGAAAATGCAAAAAAAGAAAGGTAATGACGTTTTCCATAATAACAGTGAATGTGAGGACGTTTGTGCTATTTACCCCAATGGAAAATGTACTGAAGGTGAGATCTTAGTCGAGAAGGAACAAAAAATGACTTTCCTGATTTCAGGAGAGAATTCTAGTGGTTGAGAATTAGAAACCCTAATTCTATATCGAAAGCAATCAATTGAAAGAAGAAAAATAAAACTCAAGAACGCATAAGAATTATAGATGCTCGCTTCAATATGAGACTGCAAAAAAAGTTTACAAGAGAAATCGCACTTCTATTTTATGTAGCCTCTCTTTATCTCTTTTTGAGGATTATCATAAAACCTAACCACGATTCCCTATTTATAAGATAAATTAAGGAAAAATAAAATTTTACAAGGACTCAAATTTTAATAGAATTTTACAAAAATACAAATTTCTAAATAGTCCTTAGATTAAATTTTGAATAGTTAGGATGGACAATAATTAGACTCCACAATTTAACACTAACGAATAAGTAGTGGTGATGGTGTGGCAGCGTGTGATAGAATGTGTTGGGTTGGGTTTTGAGGTCGATGGTTGGAAGAAAATGAACTTTTTATTTTTTCAATTTCTTTTTTTCTTTTTGAGTAGAGAAAGTCATTGACGAAATTGCTCTTTGAAATAAAAATAAAATAAGGACAATTGCATTGCATGCACAAAATTACGATGGAACTATTTGCGCCAAAAATGAAAATGTTTGAGATCACTTATGCCG